ACTTAAAGTCTATACTGAAGCCATCGTGTTTACCTAGTAAGAACGGTCCAATCATAAACAAAAGACAAAGTAATCATCGTTTTGCGCCGCCGGTAAAAACTACAATCTCCTTAGCACCAATCAAGCCAGCAGCTAAAGAAATCACTATACCAACAACAACTGTACCACCAACTCGGTCACCCACAACCACCCCGCCGACAATGCCACCAGGATGGTGTTTTTACAATAACAAATGGTATCCTTCAGGCGACACTATTGCCAAGGATCGTTGTGGCATAGCTGTTTGCAACGACGGCTCCATCACTTATTACGGTATCAAGGATTGGGAATGTATGAACGGTAGAGCGGCTACACCAACCACCACTCCACCGACCACTGCACCATTTGCCAATATACCACCAAGCAAGCCGCCAGCTAAAACCACATTACCACCAACGACAACTGTTGCCCCAGGCTCATGCTGCATTAATGGTATGTTGTACAATGACAATGCCATTGTACCAAGTAGCCACTGCAGCGGAGCGATTTGCCTGCAGGGTTCCGTGGTAATTTATGATAACTTTGAGTGCTTGTTTGGCAGCACTACCACTACATTGCCTCCCACAACCACGCCTCGTGTTATTCCACCCGAATGTGGACTTTAAAGGGGAAAATGATGGCAATCCGTCAGGCATTTTTCGCATCGTTAATGTAAAAATAATTAAACATATTGAAAATAGGGATAAGGAAGTTGAACTTATCGTCTCAAAATAACAAAAGTTATGGTAATATTAAAGTTGTTATTTATTTGGAAATAATATGAAATTCATATGGTGCTGATCTGCATTAACTTTATACTTCCGTGTCACCATTTTACATACGGCATGTGTGTGTGTGTGTGTGCACGCGCGCACGAGCGATAAAGAGACCATTCTGAACAGAAGATACGCCTCTACACGCGCCATTCTTCCAGGGAGCTAGCAATTAAACCCCGGGGCCCTGATTTAATGGGTTTAATGGCGGCGAGACCATCAGCGGATTAGTTGGCTCTTCTTTTATGTAGGGTCCGCCATATTTGATCCATGGATCAGTAGATCCTCAGATCATCTGTTCTGAATGGCTACTTACTGCAACCTCTCTGTACAACCAAGTAGTCGCACTAAAGTCTACTTCACACGATTCAAATATGTACCACTGTTTTCTTGTTTTCAAGAGCATTATCTTCGATCACAAACAAAACAAATCTACAGAGCAATATGGTAATATTAAAGTAGATATTTATTTGAAAATATCCTAATATATTCATATTGCGCTGATTTGCATTATTTGAATGCTTCTGTGTCACCATTATACATACGGTGTGTGTGTGTGTGTGTGTGTGTAAGTGTGCGTGTGTGATACACTGCAACCTCACTGTAGAACTACCAAGTAGTCGCATAACTACCTCACACGATTCAAATATGTACCACTCCTCATTCTTCGATTACTGTCAAAGGCATTTTCTTCGATTGCAAACAAGACAAATCTGCAGTGCACTCACGACACAAATCAAAATAGAAAATGTAATCTTTTCGAATAACAAGGCGGATTGATCTACAGAATCTTCCTCTAACCAGCTCAGTATATTGCAGTTCCCTGAGCGAGACTCTTTTTAAGACTGGGTATTATCCTGATCAACTAAAACATGATATTACATAATGTGGTTATATGAGTTTCTTATTCAACTTGAAAGCTAGGGCCTTTATCCCGGTTGCACCAACGTAAATTTGCTCGGATACGACTGTCGTAAACCTGATGACGTCCTTGCGCCAGGTTTATTCTCCCTGTTAACGCCCGTTGCATCGAGGCAAAAAATGGTCGTCTTAACTACACCTGAGTAACGCTTCGCTATCAATGCCAAGCAATGCATGGATTGTATAATTAGGCAAATGAGTTCGCAGCTGCAGTCATAATAGGGTGATAAACACAAAATGAGCAGTTTAGTTACCGAGAAATTCAGAAGCTTCATTTTTCCATTTTACAAATTAAAACGTTAAAATATGTTAACTTTGCTGTTGCCTAGAATATATAGCAATGAAATCGTATATGTATTCTGAATCAAATTTTTCTTATAGTATGTTAAAACATTATAAAGCTTTAATTAATTGATGCCTGTTAAAAACGAATAAAACGCGTTGGAGGCAGTACGTATTCTAATAAATGGATTTAACCAACTTCATATTTATTATTCACACTTTTGAATTTGAAAATAATGCAAAATTGCACCTTTAACGCCAATATTAAAAAAAAATACAACAATGGCAACCAATCCATGACCTACTTATCAATAGTTACACCATGTGATATCATTTAAATTAAGTGAGCTTACATCTTGTAATTTTGAAATACAAGAGCCCCTATACATATGACATGAACCGTATAATGTTGACATTTTAAGCTTCTCTTTGTATGTTTATATATCATAAAATATGAATAATAAAAATGTGAAGAAAAAATGACAAAAGCTATGGTTAGTAAAAAAATTCTGAAAAGAAATTAAGAAATCGAAAGCCAAGACTCACTAAATTGCTATCAACTTAACCGGCTTCAATGTCTGTCACGCCTAGTAAAGCTGTTAGGGGGTACTAATCTTTACCCACAAGCTGACAGACAATTAAGCCTGTTAAGTTGATAGCAATTTAGTGAGACTCCCCAGGGAGTTAGACCGATCCAAATGGATCGATCTAGGCATGGTAACCTAGTCTTACATTCACAAACTTTATGAATGTAAAGCAAACTTCGATGCATATTCTAAGCAGAAAGAGTGTGCACGAGAGACGATTTCATGTCATCGTGGTTTAACCACTGATTCAGGATCGCAGCGTGCATAAGTACATAGCAGCGACAATTTGTGCCGTCACAGTGCTTTCCCAACTCTGTGAAGTTAAGTGTACCCATTCCTGATAATTTTTGTATGTGTTTAATCTTACATTTTCCAAATTTTATGAATATGAAGCAAAATACAATGCAAATTTTAAGTGGAAAGCGTGCTCACAAGATGTTGAAACGCTGATGCCTGTGTCCCACTGTTGTATCGTGGACGTGCAGATATATTAGTGTTTTAAAAACCAAGCCACTGCCCAGTTATACAGGCGGAAGCTTTGTGGAAAAAAAACAAACAAATAACACACATTTTCTATATTAATGACGATAATTGTCATAAAAGCCTTGTCATAGTGAAAAAAGAGCTACGATTGACAAGTGGCAGGCGTAAATTTACGACTAGGTTAAGACTGGCGTAAACACTACTCCAGTTTGGTGCAACTGACACATCGTTTTGTGCTGAAGTTACTCAGGCGCAACTGCTACCCGCTGGTGCAACCGGGCCCTGGGCTACGTAACTCGAAAGCATCGCGAATTGCGAATAGCGATATCACCTATCATTCGAGGCTATTTTATGGGGAGAGTATGGGCGAGTTATGGAATCGAGACGCTTGCGCTCGGTCGCAATGCGCGATGCTTTCAACTTACGGGGCCCTGGTTCCTAGTAGTGGGGAAACAAAATGCACCATATGAATTGTATTTAAGTTCCGTTTTCACCGGGTTTGCGTCTGCTTGGAGAACGAATTTTGGCCTACTTTCAGCATTGTTTGGGATCACCATAAAGATGCAAAATGGTTTCTTAGTTATCTCGATAATCTATCAAGTGGTCTCTCTTGGTTTCCGCAACCTTTTATCAATCAGCAAATGTTTTTTTTTTCCAAGTTTATATTACTAACCAAAACAGTACCAAAACTATTCCCCTACAATAAACAAACAATTAGTTACAGTTAGAAGACCTCTTAAATATGAGAATATATTATAGCAAATATAATACAATTTTAAATAATTGAAATGCATTTCTTTCTAACATTCAGTTTACGTACGTATTTTGGTAGCCTCTCAAAGTTTTAAACCTCAAATATTGGAGACCATAAAAGAGTCAGCCAAGGACACGTTTGGGGAACACGTTTGAACTCGTCATGATGGACATTTACAGGTGTAGGACCAGTACAGAGCTTCTTGTAAACAGTTTAGAACCAAGGGACCGAACTTGATTTGAGGACCGGAAGAGAGGCTTAACACACGTACCTGTGATTCGGGGCCAAGAGAGACGGCGTGGGCGAGTGTTTGTGAGAGTATACCAAATATCGTTTTCCTAAGCGGCCATAAACCCGGTGTAATCGGGATTTAGGTTAAATTTGCTGTTTTGGTGTAAACGCCATTATGTGACTGACGAAAGCAGAGGACGACCGCCACTGCTGAAAATAAAGTAGTCGCGTCTACAAAAGGTCGCATCCCGGTGTAAACGTGTGAATGTAAGTGAAATATAAGACAATGCATTACGGTTAGCGTATTTTTAATGAAAAGTTCGAATAAGAATCAAAGGGTTTGAGACACGTTTTTGTTATCTCGAATTCCATATATCCAGCACTCAATCTGTACGCTAAACATATGTTTGGATCGATCATCACCCTATCATTAGTATAAAAACTCCAAGTAGAAAAAAGACGTTTTAGACATATATATAAGCGTTGTTATTCTAAAAACTTTCGTTAGGCAAACCATGTATATCCTTTGTTACTGAATATGAAAACTGAAAACTGTGGATACTATTAAGGCATTATCGAAAGATGTTTGCATGATTACAGACAATACATATATTAATTCATTTCTTTCAACAGTTTTAGAAAAAGTGAAATTTGCGAATGTATTTTTCACTTAATTTTTCAATTTTCTGTTTACTTCAAATGGATGTATATATTGAGAATATCTGCCAATGCTACTAGATATAGTTGTAATTAAACGCTAGTTCATTGATTGAACAGACAGGAAAATGGCTTCACTTGCATTCATGAGTATTTAAACCCCCCGGACAAAAGAGATGAAGGGATGTGAACTGTTATCAGGAGTCTGAAAAAGCCGTCTTACAGGTAGATAATGGCAGCTCGGTTTGACATCTAAACACACTGGCCCTCTCCTCCTGTTGCTTGTATGTCGCCACCGGACCACGTGACCACGTAGCTCATTAACTCCCAGACCTAGCGAAAAGGGCTATATTTTTAGCTTGATATTTACAAAATGAACTTCCAATTTGTGTATTTTAATAAAAAAAATAATCATTTGGACATGTTTTCTGAAGGATATGCTTCATTCAAGTCATTCTGAGGAACTGTCTGAAATCCTTTATTAAACTTTAATCAAATATCATAATGTATTTAATAGGTCTTTTGCAACTAGATGGCATGATGTTGACTTGCTCTGTTTACTGAACAGTTTGCTCTCTATCATTCTTTTGTTTACTTGAGAGGAAGCTATTCAGTAAATAAAAGAAGTAAACATCTACTAATAGTCATCTAGGTGCAAAAGGCCTATTGATATGAATTATTGTATTACTGTCCTGTATAGGTACATATAAGTTTTGATGCATGCCTAAGACTGGGTTCCCATCTCTAGATCGATCTGACAGGATCGGTCTATCTCCACGGGGTTTCTCGCTGAATTGCTTTCAGCTTAAGTGGCTTAGATGCCTGGGACGCCTACTTAAGCTGCTAAACAATGGTTAATTACCTCCCTATCAGCTTCAATACGTGTGACTCTCATCTACGCCGATTAAAGTAATTGCAATAAAGCGATAACCCCCTTGGAGATAGTTCGATACAAAGTTAGTACGACAGGCTCTGGTCTCTAAGACATTCAAAACCTCGTTGCCTGTGCAGGGAACGAGGTGCTTCGACAGCAGTAGTCAGTTAACAATCAAATCATTCCGATCGTCACTCTCAAACGCGTTCATCTCTTCCTTCAGTATTACATTTGCCGTAGTCCTACCAGCGATTGTTACCCAGGATACTGCAAGAACAGAAAAACTCGGTCTTTACCGGGAAAATACTATACAGTAAGACACTTCAAAAACATCTGGTAAAAATAAAAAAATAAGCAGATAATTAAACACATAAAAGTTAAATCTTAACATATAGGCCCTTATCGAAATTAAAATAAAAAAACAGCTGCTTTACAAACTGACATTAAAAACGAATTAACCATAGCTATTTTAAAAGGTTGAAGGTAGGTCATAAGCTGAGTGCATAACATTATCTAAAACAGCATGTAAGTCACGTAACCAGTTCGGGTCCTACATTTAGCCTACAATGTATAACGACAAAAACATATGCAATATAAACTGACCTCGTGGCAGCTTTCCTTATTTAAACTAACATCAAACGTTTTTCTTTCTTCAAGACAACCTTCCTTATGAGACTACTGAATATAATAACAATCATTCTCAAAAATAACAAAGAAAAAGGTCGATTAGCACTGTTTGCTATGTACTTTTGACACTAATTGAGATCTTTAAATATGAACAATATTCTTTCTCAATGACGACAAATACATTTAGATGACGCATTGCTTCTGACCATGAAGAGTTAAGCTTTTTGTTTGTCTCCTACGTAATGGCAAATTAACATGGAAGCAACGTTTACATGGATATCTCTACGTAATAATCACTTAAATCACCTTCCCTAGTGAAACATGATAATTTTCTCATTACCATTCGGAGCATGACACTAAGATCCTTGGGAGTGATCATGTTAATTAAAAAATAATCGTGTCTGGAGCCAATCCTACGCTTTGCATATATTACTAACTCACGCCCGCATATATACATTTGGATGTCCCTTGTCTCATTTGGACGTTACGTATCTACTTGTATTCTTAACAAGTAAAGCGAAAACAACGTAAAACAGAAACTTTTTTCATTTCAAGAAGAAACTTGGCTGTTACTGAAAGCAGTAACCATGGGGAACATGTTGGTTTTAGTTGAGTGTGTATTGTTGGGGCTACTTTATGGTGAAGTGGACGCCAAACCAGTGATTAAGTCATGTACCTATGAAGGTAAGGTCTACAACGTAAACGGGCTGATTGTCGACAACCAGTGTTACTTGGTAAATTGTAGTGATGGACACTTAACTTCTGTACTAAGGCCGTCGTGTATACCTAGTAACAACGATCTAATTATAAACAAAAGACAAAAGATTCATCGTTCTACGCCGCCGGTAAAAACTACAACGACCAGAACATTTTCTCCCGACAGTCTGGATTGCCGTGTTGGAAAACGGTGGTTCGCGTCCAACGAAATTGTGAAGGAGGGACCGTGCACCATCACCTACTGTTACCACGGTGCATTGTCTGTAGCTAGGAAGAACACGTGCACTACCTCACCGATGACAAAAACAACAAGATTACTTCCACACCCACCGAGGGCATGTTTTTATGGAGGAAAGTGGTACCCATCCGGAATTGCCATTCAGAAAGGCTGGTGCCGTTCGATCATTTGCTCCACAGGACTAATTATAATTGGCGATTATCGGGGATGCATTCATGGTCGCATACCGAGCATAACCCCCACAGTAACGACTACTCCACCAACCTCCTCACCGCCCACCAAGCCACCAGCTGAAACTACATTACCACCAACGACAACTCGTGCCCCAGGCTCATGCTACATTAATGGCATGTGGTACAATGACAATGCCGTTGTACAAACCAGCCACTGCAGCGGAGCGATTTGCCAGCAGGGTTCCGTGATACATTATGATTACTCTGAATGCTTGGGTGGCCGCCCTACCACTACACTGCCTCCCACAACCACGCTTCCCAGCAGGATCAACGGATTGGATCAACGTTGAAAACAGGTTGAGCCGTTGATCTACCTAAATTTAACATCAAATTAATGTTGGTCCAGCCACATCAAAACGCCGTCATAGTGGTCGTTGACTCAACGTTGTTGTTTGGTCGTCGTGATGCAAAAATGGATCGTAATTTAAAATATTAATTATTAAAAACGTGAAACTATGTTTATATAAAGCCCTATGACATAATGTATTAAAATGAATTTACGGCAGCTGCAAGGTGTACCGGGTATATATGTTGCCATGGGTAATAATTAGTTCTAGCCTATTAACATCAAGAACAGTGCTGCATAATTCACCTATTGTTCATTAATTCCTGAAAAGATTAAATAGAATCAATACTGAAACGAACTTTATCAAAATATGAAAAACGGTGCTTTAAAATAAAAGTGATAGTTGTTTTGTGTCTTCAGTGAACTAGTAACTTGTAATTCAGAAATACATTCCAATAAACTTCCTCGCAAGGTCAGCTAACACAAGGATGAATAAATCCAGCTGTAAATGTGATGGAGTGAAGTTAACGATGTTGACGGTTCACGGTAAAGATAGATAGACATAACAGGTTGAGGTGACCGTGACATTCTTATACATATATATATAGCTAAACCGTGGAAACCCTAACCTAAAGGCCCGGTCACACTGCGCTTGCGACCTTTTTGCAACCTTTTTGCAACCATAAAATCTGGCGGTCGCTTGCGATCACTTTGCAAGCTAATTAAGAAGCTATGGTCAATTTTGATCGGCAAGCAGTCGCAAACCGGTTGCAACAAAGTTGCAGTATGGTATCTGCAACCTCTTATAGACCATCTTCAAGTTATAGGTTACCAGTCGCACACTGTTAACCGAGCGATAAATAACCTGTCTGCAACCACTTGGTGACCGAAAACCGGTTGCAGGACTGTAGCAATCGCTTGCCAACTGGTAGCAGCAAGATCGCACAGAATATACATGAATATACTTGTGACAGTAGCTGCTTTCCCATAAATGCCCCTCTCAAAATACAAAAATGCTCTAGTAAAACGACTCCTTTTCAAAAAGAGGGGACTGCTATAATAATTGACTTTGCTTACCTAAGAAGTAAAAAGAGTAAAAAAAAAAACTCGAAAATAAAAACATAAACTGGCATACGTTTAAATCCTTATTAATCTCATAATACTCTTTAATATTTTCTTGGTCAAATACTTGGTCTCTTTGAGGTCGCAAGGCCTGTGCAGTTACGGTCACACTGAACAAAATACCTCTTTGCGACTTACAACTGTCACCGGTTGCAAAAAGGTCGGCAACCGGTTGCAACAACTCGCAAAGTGGTTTCCAAAAGAACGCTGGTTTAATAACCGGTCGCGCCGGTTTACGGTGCAGCACCGATAACCTCCTGGCGACCGAAAAACCTACTTGTGGTATCCAGCCGGTTGCTAACAGGTCGCCGACTGCTTTGCAACTGATTTGCAACCGAATGTGTGGTTTTCCCTTTGTCTTTTTAACCCTAGGCGTTTGCCACTTACAATACAACGTAATTAAATCGTGACAAGCCATGCGCATCGTGTACTTTTTACACTCTCATCCTTGTAGTGAGGGTACCAAGCACTGGGAAGATGTTAAATTGTTTGTGTTGAAACTATTTTTATTAAAGTCTATTGGACACATTTTACGATTTGTTCAATTATTTGTGGATAATTTTGATTGTTAAAATTATGATATTAAATAGCAGTTATACCTTGCTGAATAAATTGCTTTTATTTTCCGTTTTCTCTGCATTCTTGTATTTGTTTCATTGTTTACTCTGATAATATGGCTTCGCAAATTTTAAATAACATACAGCGATATATAATTGAGGTTTTCAGCATTTTACCTATGATTTTAGCAAAATAATATAATAAATAAACGTAGCGTCAAAAAATCGTACATTGCTTTTAGCAGCACTTTTTTTTTTGGTTTCGTACAAGTGTGAAATACCTGGTATGTGAAAGCCTTGGCAATTGATATTAAATATTGCCAACAAATGCATTTTCTGTTTTCTTTTTCTAAAAATATTATAATTCATGACCTTGATATTTAAAAGATTTACATAACAAATTATGAAAAAAGTCTTTGCCCAAATAGACCACCATCCTACGCCTATTTTATTGCAGTCGCTTGCAACCTTCCTGCGACATATTTTCGAACGCCTGCGATCGGTAAAAAACCTGTAAGCGACCAAGAGACTAAAGACCGTCAATCGACCATGCAGTTACAACTGCAACCTTCTAGCGACCTGCTGCTGACTACTTGCGACTGGTAAAAAACTTGTAAGCGACCAGTCGCCTTAATACTGTCAATCGACCGTGCAGTTGCAAATGGTATTATACTGGTTATAGCAACCTACTGACAACCAAGGAAAGACCGATAGGCAACCTTTAGGATACCGATAATTTTCATCTTTAGTCGCACTGGTTGTCGGTGCACAAAAAACGGCCTTCATGTGTCAACGATCGCAGGCGACCTGTTATCAACCTTATGCGACCACTTTAAAACCTATGGCAACCTCCTTGCGTATGAGGTTGCAAAGAGGTTGCCAAAAGGTTGCAAGCGCAGTGTGACCCAGGCTTAAAGGACATACATATACACTCTACATATATTTAACCATCAAACGCGTCATACTGCTAAACACATCCAGGCTAAAAGCGTGTAACATGCTTAGGAGCAAAACGTGCTTAAGAGCTAAATGCGTTGAAAAAATGAGACAAAACAGGCACTTGGATGTTTTTACGTTACAATTGTGTACCTGTGTTTTTGAATAAAAAATAAAAACATTTCAGGTCATTTTAATGTCTTTTCATGCAAGAATGTTGTCTAACAACAAGGGTTGATACAGTGTTGTTATCTGACGTTGATACAACATTGTTATTTGACGTTGATCCAACTTTCAAATCCAATGTTAATCCAACGTCTTGTCACCGTTAAAGTTCAACATTGTTTCAACGTTGAAACAACATGATTTGCCCGCTGGGTTCGTGTTATTCCACCCGATTTTGGACTTTGAAGGGACAAATGATGGCAATCCATCAGGCATTTTTCACGTCGTTAATGTAAAAAATATTTTAAGTCGTCTCTCTTTGTTTCCAGCACATTTTCTTAATCAGCAAATGTTTTTTTTTAACTTTATATTCCTAACCAAAACAGTACCAAAACTATTCCCCTATACCTAACAATAAACAAACAATTAGTTACAGTTAGAAGGCCTCTGGTAGAGCGTAGTCTCTTCGCTTACCTGTGATTCGAGGCCAAGAGAGACGGTGTGGGCGAGTGTTTGTGAGAGTATACCAAATATCGTTTTCCAAGCGGCCATATAAACACGGTGTAATCGAGATTTAGGTTAAATTTGCTGGTTTGGTGTAAACGCCATTATGTGACTGACGAAAGCAGAGGACGACCGCCACTGGTGAAAATAAAGTAGTCGCGTCTACAAAAGGTCGCATCCCGGTGTAAACAACATGAATATAAGTGAAATATAAGACAATGCATTACGGTTAGCATATTTTTTAAATAAAAAGTTCAAATAAGAATCAAAGAGTTTGAGACACGTTTTCGTTATCTCGAATTTCGTATATCCAGCACTCAATCTGTACGCTAAACATATGTTTGGATCGATCATCACCCTTTCATTAGTACAAAAACTCCTAGTAGAAAAAAAGACGTTTTAGATATATATATATATATATATATATATATATATATATATATATATATATATATATATATAAGCGTTGTTTTTCTAAAAACTTTTGTTACGCAAACCATATATATCCTTGCTCTAACCTTCGTTACTGAATATGAAAACTGTGCATACTACCAAGGCATTATCGAAAGATGTTTGCATGATTACAAACAATACATATATTAATTAATTTCTTTCACCAGAGTTTTAGAAAATGTAAAATTTGCGAATGTATTTTTCACTTGATTTTTCAATGTTCTGTTTACTTCAAATGGACATATATATTGAGAATATCTGTTTATACTACTAGATATAGTTGTAATTAAACGCTAGTTCATTGATTGAATAGACAGGGAAATGTCTTCACATGCATTCATGAGTATTTAAACCAACCGGACAAAAGAGGTGAAGGGATGTGAACTGTTATCAGGAGTCTGAAAAACCTTTATGGCAGCTCGGTTTGACATCTAAACAGACTGGCCCTCTCCTCCTGTGGTTTGTATGTCGTCACCGGACCACGTAACCACGTAGCTCATTAACTCCCGGACCAAGTGAAAAGGGCTCTTTTTTAAGCTTGATATTTACATTTAATGAACTTCCAATTTGTGTATTTTAATAAAAAAAAAAACAATCATTTGGGCATGTTTCCTGAAGGATATGCTCCATTCAAGTCATTCTGAGGATCTATCTGAAATCCTTTATTAAACTTTAATCAAATATCATAATGTATTTAATAGGTCTTTTGCAACTAGATGGCATGATGTTGACTTGCTCTGTTTACTAAACAGTTTGCTCTCTAGCATTCTTTTGTTTACTTGCGAGCAAGCTATTAAACAGATAAAAGAAATCAACATCTACTAACAGTCATCTATCTGCAAAAGGCCTATTGATATCAATTATTGTATTACTGTCCTGTATAAGTAAGTCTTGCTACATGTCTAAGACATTCAAAACCTTGTTGTCTGTGCGGGAGAACGAGGTGCTTCAACAGCAGTAGCGGGTTGACAATCATTCCGATCGTCGTTCTCAAAGGCATTCATCTCTTCCTTCAGTGTTACACTTGCCGTCCTTCCAATGCAATAAAAACATGGATTATTATATATCGTAAACAAGGACAAAGATAGGTATGAAACTTAACAGAACTGTTCAGTACGCTTTTTATGTAAAAAAAAGCTCATTAGATTTTAGTTATTTATCAACAGCTTTCATATTAAATAGCAATTTTGAACTTTTATTTATTTGTTAGTGCGACAAAGTTTTGTTACCAAACTTTGTACCCAAAACTTTTTTTTACTCGAGGCACTACTACGATGAAATATAATGTGAAAAATAAGTTTCGATTTATTATAAGATCTTTTTATTTGTCGAGTTTTCTACCCGCTAGATGCAGTTTGTGCACCCTTCTTGGATTCTGTCAATTCTGTTTAGAATAGTCTAAATATAATGAAATATTATCGGCTTTAAAAATACATGGCCTGAGACCTTAAACTTATAAAGTTAAAAAAGTTAATAATAATACACTTACACTTGATCAAGACAGACGTCACTGCCTTGAGGTTCTTTCTTTGAATCTACCCCAAGTATACTATTAAAAGAAAATCACAAATTCTAAAAACGAATGAACGTACCCACATTTTTACCAGAAGATATTTTGATTGCTTAAGCAAAGGTTAAACCAACGTATGAAAAAAACCAAAAGGATTAAATTTTTTAGGGGGTTCCGTTACACTCCAAATTTCAAATTTAAGCAAACTAGTACGAACAGGGTTACACAAAGTACATATCTTGCTATATGGATTCCCAGTATTGGTTTCGAGGTACCAACTGGGACTGTTGCTCAGAAAACACAACCTGAAGCCACAGTCTGCTGAATTGTTTGGAGGTCAAAATGACCAATTTGGAGGTGTGATACAAACCCGGTAACAAAAAATTCCGATTTCAAATCCGACTGGCAGCACTTAACTTGAGTTGCATAGTCCTATTTTTCAATTTTATGTTTAAAGAAATACCCTTTTCATATTGTTTTACGTTTTCCAGAATTTCTGCCACCAAATCAAAAGGGCAACATATTTTAAAATTTCTATAGTATATTTGTAGCGACTAATAAAATTCAGTCATTTGAAGCAACAGTTCCCCTTACTCAATATACTCGGGCGTTCCAAATGCTTCTCCTTGAACTAGTGTTTCCGGCATTGGCAAGCCCATAGTTTCAGGCAGCAAAAGAGCCAGTAGGCCAGCAACCAGGGACGTCACGCCGAATACAATGGGTGGAAACTGACGGATGGTGTAAGCACCCTAGGAATTTTTTCAAAAATGATCATTTTAGAATTGTTCGGTGCAGGCTCAACACACACAAGGCATTTTTTCTAAGGGATTAGATTTAAAAGGTGTATTGAAGTAATACACAAAAAGAAACATTTTGCAAAACCAAGGTGTGATTTTAAAAATTAAATTTTTTAAACTTTGAGATTTTCCATGAATAGCTGCCATCAGTCTTATAACAGAAACTCGTAAAAATGGGAGTATCCTTTTTGTTTCGCCAATGGTCATATCTTTGTAATCATGAATATAGAAATTTGTCAAAGAACCGTACCATTAAATTAACCAATGGCGCCAATACCCCTCCTACTCTGGCGAACATAGAGCTAACACCGACCACACCGTTTCGTATCACAGTCGGGAATGCTTCAGCAGAGTAGTTGTAGACGAGTACGAATGATGCGCCAGAGAAAGCTTTCCCGGTCATGGTGAATGTGATTACTAACCAATCCAAACCTAATAAGAGGATGAAAACTTTCTCTAAGTATTTAGTTATAGTGCCATGGTTAAGGCTATGCCTAGATAATTATAATTTTGAAAATATGTGTATAAGGTATTAAAGCATTGAATCAATACACTTTGAATATGTATGTATCAGAGGGAATTAAGAAATACGTGTCGTTAATTGGTCTACATGGTTATGATCGCTATCATATATATATATTTATTTTAAAAAAATGTTACCAGCGTCTTTTGGGATAACTGAAGCCGTTATACATGCTACTCCGCAGAATATCATGCTCATACAAAGACAGGCACGCCGACCAATCCGGTCCATTAGCAAAATACAAAGCAGGAATCCAGGAAACTCCACCAATCCAGACAAAGACAGATTCAAGTAATCATTGCCCCCAGGAAGTTCTGATGTGCTTAGAGATAGGCCATAAAACACCAAACTCACAGTGAACCTTAATATAAGAAACTGAAGATAATTTAAAGTGTGGTCAACAGAAGTCGCTAAAGATTAAACGACAAAGACATCAGTTGCAAAGTTTAATAGGTTAGGATAGAATTAGATATAAGAATTGGATAGTTGCAATTAAATTTGAAAAACTAAACGACAATGTCATTATTAACTACACATTTAATGCACCATTGGGGAAATATTCGTAGGCAACTTACCAATTAAAAAAAATAATCAATCCTCTAACTCTCATACGAGGAAACTTCATGATGGCAAGAACATGCGACTTGTGTTTCACATCAGGCTGAAGCTTAAACACGGAGAAAAACAATCATGGTGCCTCACATCATATTTCCATAAACTTGATATACGGTTATATGCTTCTTGTCAAATTTACATAAAACTAACATCGTGCACACTCTAAAAATGACGCTTTTCTGAGAACATAGGGGTGAATTATTTGATTTTAAAATATAGCAAATACTTTGGTTAGTGTGTTATACATGAATAGTTTAACTATTCTTTGTTTTGTGCATTTGACCTTTATTGGGTGTGAAAAATAAGACAATGAAATTCACATCGCTGACAGGCTTACAATAGTCTTTCGTTTCGAATAACCGAAATGCAAAGTTTGACTTTAATGAATGCATCGGCTTGAACTACTGAAAAAAGCAAGCACTTAATAAAATCTGTTTTAATAGAGTATTTTGCATCATGAATCCGCCCCCTTTGTCTTAAAAAATTGTCCATATGAATTATATTGTTCCACACATAAAACACATACCTGGTTCAATAACTTCTGTGGCAGGTCATAACCATTTATCTTTGCAGCTTTTTTAATTATCTTCTTTGACTTTTCAACTTGATTGTTTTGCAGGAACCACCTGGCCGATCCAGGAATAACTCTGTCCCTTTTTTCAAAAAAGCCACAGTATTTTAACCCACCAGAATATTACAATTATCTTTATAAAGCAACAATAAAATTGTTACGTTTTGACAAGATACGAATTAAAACGTCAATTAAATTTAGGATAGACTTGAGTTGAAAATGTATCTCATTTAATATTACAGTTTACACTTACCCCTGTATAAGACCGCATTCAGATTCAGACCTCGTGCCAGCTGGGTCGATTCAACTCTGCGGGGGATTCTCACTAAAATGATCAAAGTAATCAAATTAATTGTGTGACACTCCTCGCACTGCCCGGGGGTAGTTATCTTTCGTCTATGCTCGGCTTAATTATCCTTTAGTTGGTCGAAGAGCCGTGTCAGACAATTAAGCTAATTTCATTTGATTGCACTTTAGCGAGAATCCTTTTTGACCCAGCTGGTACGATGTCTAAATCTGAATGCGCCCTAAAAAGCGAAATATTAAATTCAACTCCTTCCATACAAATCAAACATATCCGTCTACAATATTGTAACGCAATAATATCAATTTACTTATATCTAAAATGGCAATCATCCGGGATAACCTAAAAAGGAGCTGCGGCACTACGAGCTCTCATGCGAGACTAGAAACGTTCGAGAAAACGCATGAGGAAGGGTTAACTTTGTAGCGATGAGGGCCGATGTAATTACAAACATGACATGCACAGCAGGTTGAATTCTTAATGTTGTGGAATAAACTGTAATTCGAAGAAAGCAGTCGGAAAATAGCCATGGGTAAATTCTATCACTGCAATAAGTCTAAATGGGTAGTCTGCCATTAGGCCCTATATCTGACCCCGATCTCCTTAAAATCTAGCACGAAAATTCATTTGTTAGCACAGACAGTACATATCAGAATCGTCAATAGGAGAGCTAACGCATGAATTTTCGTGCTACTTCAAATCTCGCGAAATTTCGCTTGACTTAAAACAAAGTCGCAAGACTTTGAGCTATCTCGGATGATTCCCATTATGGGTGATCCCATTACATGCAAACCGCTGTCTGAAAGTATTCATATATGTGATAAGAAAACTCATACTGATAAACCAAGGTGCACTTACCAAATGAATATCAATAAAAGCAATCCTGGTAGGGAAATAGTAAACTGCAACCATGTCCAATACGGGATGAAGTATGCAGCAAAAGAAAGGGTACAGAATCCCACTGCGAAGAAGGCGTTGATGGCAATACCCGTTATAACTCTACCATTCTTCGCACCAATAAACTCCATCCCTGAAACGTAACATTTTCCTTGAAGGAAGGCCGTGCGTCGACATATGACTAACGGTGAATAGCAAATGTCTTAAAATTTGAAAATCATTGATTAGACATAACAGCGACACATGGAATATGAATTTTTAAAACTAAATGTAGAATAAAAATAAATATCAAAAAGTATTTACCGATAACAAATGCAGTGAGCGTAACCCCGGAATGTGAGGTGCCCAGAACGAAACGAAGGATAACGAAAGTGACATACTCAGGCGCAGAGCCAAGAAGACTGCCGGCTAATATTTGTAACAACATGCCTATAATCATGACGCGCTTTCTGCCAAATCTGAAAAGAAAAACTCTTATGAATCCTTACGCTTGCCAATACACTTATAGTCATGTGGTGAGCAGTATTAAAAACATACTTTTCAGCTCGTCATATAAATTTGTGATCATCTTGCAAAGTATTGTGATTTTGTGTTATTATTTTAACTGTGTTCCGTTATGACCACACTTTTCGGGCACCTACCTGTCTGACAGGTGCCCGTATACAACTGCACCAGTCAACACCCCGGCCATGTAAATGGACTGTGCCAAGCTGTTGAGATACTTACGGTCACATACCATATCAAACTGTAATGTTAGGATAATGAACACAACTGGTTAATAATTTTAAACTTCATGAAACTGAGAAAACAACATTGCCATACATGCTAAAGCTCTATAACAAAGCTAAATGACACTGGAGTTATAAAAAAGATACCAAAATTTATATTTCATACTTAAACGCGTAGGGTCTAATTTTCCACACAAATTAGGCGCACCTGTTGGCCTATATTACTGCAGTGAGGGAATTCTAGGTCTCCGATTTTGTAGACAATTATGGAAATGATGAGGATAACAAATTATGACTGCTTTTCACCGCTGAACGTTTTGAATAGCTGAGCACCAACCTGCGAGAAAACAGATGTCTTGTACCGTGACGTGTCATAGACCCATTGGTCACACTGCACTGTGGCAGTTGTATTGTCTGGTATTGTATACCACACCCCTCTGGTCACGTTGACAGCATACATATTACAGCGGTCATACTGTCCATCTCCACTAGTAGGATATACCAAGGAGTAGTTGAGGGAACCAGTTTTGTTGTAATAATCATCCCAGCCTGGGACAAAGCACCTATTTTATCAAATACAGAAAGGATTAGCATTTTTTAATAAGGCCTATCAATCTCATCACTGTCTTAGGCGCATTTCCTTTCTGGGGTATTCATGTCAAAAAGGCTCTTGGATGATATACCGCATAACCGAACTTAATAATATGATAGTCTTTAAAATTTCCAATATTTGGCAATCTTTATTGAAAATTAAACATGGGATTAGTCAGGCGTATTCAATTGTTAGGAATATTTTATATGCAACTGTTGCCAACATCTTGTATATATCGTAACCTTCGTATATTTCAATCTAATAGAAATGATGATGGATTCAATAATACCTGAAATCTTGCGTTGCTGCAATGAAAGTCATGGCTAATGCGTGCATCCCAGACACCCATGCTGGCAAAGACAGCAGAAATAGCTGGCTCTTCTGATACTTTCCAAATTCACCCAAATGTGGAATTATCTCTTCAAACTTCATTTTCCCTATTTTTTATTTTAAATAAGATTCTTTAATGAATGTATTTCGTTATATATTGTACCGACTGCTTAGCCCTTTATGCATTTTCTTCAAAACTACTCTTAAAGCTAAGATAAGATTTACAGATTGACTTAAGTAGAAAATCGGTCTTAGCACAGATTACTAAGAATTCTAGCTGACAAAATTGCGTTCCACAAATATTTCATAAGTTCACTTACTTTTTACTTGGTCAATAAAATCGGTAAAGAAAATTGTGACTGAGTTTCACCTTCAAGAGAGTTAGACTTCCAAAATCGAGATGCTCTGAATAAATTGACAATTCTCGTATTTTGTCTCATTTACACACAGCTACATGCAGTGCACTTAAGATATTTTATGCACCAAGATAAAACATATAGGCTTTTTTCATCCCAAATGTACCCAACAAACATAGCACAGGCGATGAGCTCACTTTGATTAATCTCTCGATGCACATCAAAATTAGGACACAAGTTACATGTACATGTAGCTTTACATGTCGCTCATGCGCACATTTGGGTAGAAGAAAGCCAAGAAATGTAAGTACTCGGTGCACATACCTCGTGTAAAAGAGACAAAATGCCGGAATTAACAATGCACTCAACGTAATTATATTTACCTCTTGGGAGTTCAACCCCCTTTCTCAGTATTGACAACAGGTCCTCTAGATACCTGAACTGATGTAGGCCTAACAGTGAAGCGCGTCGACTTGGATCAAATCATCCTTATCTCTTATCATACCACGGTCAGAACACACGCCCCCGACGCTTACCCCAGTAAGTCTTACATTTTTGATATTCGCCTTGGTATAAGTCCAATATACCCCAAATCAACAAGGTATATTCGTATCCAGTAGGCCCTACTAGGCCTACTTGTCACTTGTGCATACCCTGATACCGTGTCCCTGTCAGACTATTCAAACGTAAAAAAGCTTTATCATTCTAATTTAGACTCCGGTTATGTAAGTTTAGGTGTTTCCGAAATCCAGGTGATAAATAAGTTACTGATTACTAGCAGGAAAACAACGCTTTTATTTATATATAGGAGCATCCTCAATTCACAGTAGGCCTACTACTGGCATATATATTCAAAAGGCGAATCCAGGGGGTGGGTGAGGCCGGTGTATTTATTTATTTATATATTTATCATTTCATTCACTTGAGCTGTTTTAAAACATGTTTCACCACCACTTGTCTCATCCCATATTCACATGCCAACTTTGTATTCAAGCATTTCCATGTGAAATCCTGGACTACTCGATGAATCCAAACACAGGTTTTCAGTGAAGCTTTGTAAAATACTAGAAAAGCACTCCGAGAGCGCAGACCTCCGCCAAGACAGCAATTTTTGATTATTATTGATTATTGATTGCTTATTGATCCACCAAAAACTAATCATCTCTTCCTTGGCCCACTTCTGACAGTTCCTGAAAATTTCATCAAAATCGGTCCATAACTTTTTGAGTTATGTTGATGACAAACAAACAGACAAACAGGGGTGAAAACATAACCTCCTTGGCGGAGGTAAAAATTTACATTACGCAAATGTAACATGGAAATGACGGAATAAGTAATAAGTACTTTGTTCTTCAAGTTACAAAATTAAGCGTTCAAGACGAGGCACACACACGCACGCACTATCACAGGCAGTAGACAGGCTACAAAGCACTGTTGTACGGGTGGGGTCATCTCATACTTCTGGAGATAAACAAAAATGAAGCGGAGAAGCTTTTTGAGTTTGTTCGGCAAAGTTTAACTTCATAATATATTAATTAAGATAATAGGCCTATAAATGAATTAAGAACAGTCATTTACGGGGTAGTTCAAACAGATGCATGGCCTATGTGGATAGGTTTTTTTTTTTTTTTCAGAAATCTATAGGACCCTTACTTGGACCCATTACGGACCTTTAATGATGATTTTTTCCTTTGTTTGTATCCATTCTGCTTTAAAAGACCTGCCCTTTTCGCACCCACGCGCAGCCGCGTTAGGATCACTTGCCAAGATGTTCGTCCTACTGCTCCTAATCAATTTGAAAGTATGGCGGGAAATTGCTGACGTCATGACCTACATATAAAATGCACTCTGTTTTGGCCTTACAAGCCTATTGTTACTGTTACAGACGCACTTAAAGTATTCTCATTTTTGTAAATAGTTGACCAAGCATTGGAAAAATGAGCTTTTGCACCCAATATGTAAGTGTAAGTGTCTGGTGATATACGTCAGAATATAGAAAACATTTAACCTATAGCCAGAAAAATAGCCCGGTTAGCTCAGTCGGTAGAGCATGGGACTCTTAATCCCAGGGTCGTGGGTTCGAGCCCCACATTGGGCGATGAAATATTTTCCATTTTTCAAATTTAAATTGTATATATTTTGTCTATATCACTTTGTGTACACTCATCCCTGTGTAAAATGAATGTGAGGAGGAGAAGAAAGCCAAGAAATTGGTGATAAGGCAATTTTACCAATTTGTCAGGTAGTATTTCATGTTCCATCTAATATAGTCATGATCCAGAAACCTAACCCCTGATGGGACTACTGTTCCTATTGTTCCTAAGTAATAGTGATCTCTAGGACTTAGATTACTGATAATCTGATGGATTTAAAGACAGGGATGAATTGTATAGCACTAGCGTGTAATAAAATAACCAGAAACAACTTTTATCAATATGTCGCAGAAATCATTTTATTGTAAAGCAAATGTAGTACAAAAATATCATAAAATGTAGTATTTTCAATTATAATTTAAGAAGAAAAAAACAAAGATAAGCTGAACATTCTATACAGGAAAAGGTTCTGATTTTAAAAAATGCTTTCCCAGTACTCATTTAATCACATCTTTCTTTTACATAGGGAAAAAAACTTTACACAAATTGAATGTATATCAAACTCATCAAGAAACTGTTTAGATTCGATAGCCACTTTTGAGTAAACGTTCATTATAGTAGCGTTTCTAATCATGGAATAAACAAGATGACGTACATTTCACATTTGACAGATAAAGTCACATAACTAAAGCATGTACACACATGGACTTTTCAATGTCAACCATGAAAGATAAAATCGGGAGATCTACGGTCTTGTAGCATTTGATCTTCATTTTTTCACTTTCAAATTTTCGACTGGCTTTTTATTTGGCTTGTTTAATTTTTGCTTCTGTGCTCGTTCTGTATGCTATGCCTTCAAATAAATTTTGTTTTGTGTTTCGCGGAGAAAGCAATTTTTCATAAAGAATCTGTTTTAGCTTGAACCACCTTTACTACCCTACTCATGAAGTATAAAATTCATAAATTTTTTTGTAGAATACAACTCTCTCTCTGAAGTTCCTTTCATGGGTACATGTAGCTTCTTTTAACGCATGAAATAAAAACGCGGAGAAAACATGTATAATGCGTATTTGTCGGTCAAAATCTTAGCACCAGAGGAATGGCTTTGAAACGAGAAGTTTTTTGTAAAGCATTTCCCCGAGGAAAACCCTGCCTTAACCAGCAGCTAATTACAGGGGTCATACTAAAGTAGGATCTTCCTTTCTTGTTTCGTCCACATCGTCATCGTCGTCGTCCTCACTATCTAAATCTATCCCGTATTTCTCCATCGCTTTTTCAAATATATCACTGGTGCCGTCGTCATCGTCTATCTGGAGGGACGCAACAGAGAGTTTATCGACCTCTGGGTCGCCAAGGCCTAGTGTGTCCTTTTCATGGGTTTCGTCTGAAAATGTCAGAAAGTGATTTTACTCAAAATAAAAATGCTGTGTGCGTTTGACCACATATCTAGTGGAACATCAAAAAACGTAGCATCGCTATAAAACTAAAATACTTAATTACATAAACCAGTCATATAGTAACCGGTCATGAACGCAGTCTTTCTCTCCTATGTGCCTTACTTAATCCCCTTCCACCCCACCCTCAGGTTGCGGAGAAATAGTGAACTTACCTTCCGGCGTTGCCAGATGATTCGCCTCGTGCATCACTGACTTTATGTCTAATTTCTTGGTTTTCCTGTTACCTGCAAAATCATGACATTAAAGCGTTTAGTTGGTTTCTTTAGTTGTTTTTGCCTTTTTACTTTAGTAAACATTACTAATATGTTCGTGGTGGTTTATCGTTTTTAATCATCCATTTTCTATTGTATTTATCCTTTTGTTTTATATTTATATTTATCGTTTTTAATCATCCATTTTCTATTGTATTTATCCTTTTGTTTTGTTTGCCTCTACTTTAAGATTGAATCATTGATCTAAGTAGGCCTAAGTTTTTATTAGCCTCCATTTATGCAAAGGGCGATAGAAGGTGGCATTTAACTTGGACAATAAATATTGGATTATCTCCAATAACAGAAATAGGTAACTGGAAGATACGGAAATGAAGTACCTAAGAAGATTGTTGAGAATATCCTGAACAGAAAGAAAGACCAATAAAGAAGTGTCACAACCTTGCATGTGTACAACGATCACTGATGAAAACAATTAGAAAAAGACAAATGAAATCTCTGGGCCATACCATCAAATAGAAAAACTTGAAATAAGAAGTAGAGGAAGACAAAAAAACAGCATATATTGACAGCCTTAATAGTTATGTATCAACTCAACGATTGTCCAACTCATCCAAGTGACTGAAAATAGGGGAAACTGGAGTTCCATTATCGTCAATGCCTGCACCGAGCCTGACACTAGAAGAAGAAGAAAAAAAAAGAAGAAGAAGAAACATTTGGCTCAAACTTATCAACATTACTTTTGAAACTTACCATGTTCATCAATTTCGTCCACTGTCACGACATCCACCCCTTCCATTTTGGGAACCTTCGCTTTCTGGTCCCATGATGGACCAAAATGAATGTCAAACATTTTCTTGAACCTGTTCATATTCTTCACTTGGTTGACTCCCTTTTTAAACTTATTTAGAGGGATATAGACAGACTTTTTGCGCTTCAGTTTCATTTGATTGCCTTGGACTTTATGGAGATCTTCTGGAAGACCGTATTCATACCGAGTCTCTTTCTCAACTTGAAGCACCCGACTAGTGACATACTGGCTCATAAAGCGTTGTTTTTGTTCTTTTTCAAACCTCTCTCGCACTCTCTTTAATTCCTTTTGCTGCCTTGCCCTTGTTTGGCGTTTCATTTGTTCCTGTTTCTCTACAGACTTGTTGTGCTGTATGACCGCGTCCATTTGGACCTTCGATAAACGCTTAAAGAATTCTCGTTTCCTTTGCTTTTTGTGAATTTCCGTTTGTGTCCCGTATACGCTGGTTATCTCTCGGTATTTCGTGGTTTCATTTGGTGTTAAAACGTAATCTTTAGATCTCCTCCACGGAGGAATTTTTCGAATCAGAATTTCTTTTTTCGAAGGGCGCGTCTCTGACTTAGATGTGTCTAATAGTCGACGAGTTTCAGCAACATAAATAGATTTGCTTCTTTGATATTCGACAGGCAATTCTTCAACCTTTGTCTTCAATGTAAAAGTTGTTTTGTTTCGAGTGAATTCTCTCTTTAACGTTTGAACGTTCCCGTCGGGCTTTTTCGTAGTCCCGTGTTCAGCAAATTTCTCTGAGGTAACTGTAACGGACGGTTGTTTAGTTGTGTCCCTGGTTTGACTAGATTGCGACTGAGCTTTGTGGGCACTTCCTACATTGTTATTTACATCTTTACCAGTCGAAGCACCAGATCGGGTTCTAACGCCGTTTTCAGTGTTTGCGATTTCCTGAGTCGCCTTTGAACCTTCGTCGTGTTTAGTATTGTTACGTAAAATTCCTTGCGGTTTCGCATGGGCTTGTTGACTAGAATCACTTGTTGCGACGCTTTTTGTGTCCGACCTGTAAAGAAAACACAACTTAAAATCATGAAGTTGATAAGCTATTAGGAACTTCTTCAATAGTTGATAGAAAACTCCAGGCCTACTAATTTTCAAAACAAAAAAAAGTTGAGCAAAGTGTAATCAGCAGTCAGATTTGCATCCTTTTAAACATAACTGACTTTACAAAAATTATAAAAACATAAAAACCGAGAAACGTAAAATCTTACTTGTTTTGGTGTTGAGACCTCGGTGAAATATCTGCTCTATTGTGGGCCCAACTGCTCGCAAATTTCTTAGACTTAACAAATTGCGCATCTTTATCTCTTGTTGATTTACCTGCATAACCTGCGAAGAATACATAACATAGTTTTGTTAATGAAAAATACCCATAATGCCTTACTTCATCAATCTCATAGTGCCCAGATTTATTGACGGCACGCAACCAATTTCGCTTCGTAACAATTTACATAAGTATGCAGTGTATGATTTTATTCAATATCGGCATCAGTGTCGCAATAGCTTTTCCTGGCTTGTATATAGACCTACAGTATTAATAATTTCATTTACTTCATTCTATTTATTTATTTTGCATTTTTCATTGATCATCATTATTCTCTTTTATTTCTTATTTCAGATTTATCTATTTATTTCATATCTTTTTTATTTGTAGTAGAAATAGGTTTTCCTGAAATAGAAAACGGGAGAGACACCCGCCGTTGACTCTATAGTAAACCACTATACTGATTTGGCAGGCAAAGGTAAACCTAAATTTTTCTCAACGAAAACGCTCTTACATATCCAGCGTTAGCGTTAGTAACATATCCACAAACAAACTCATTACCCTAAAAGCTAAGCTACATTTTGATCACTGTATGCGACTCTTACTGGACGTCTTTTAAGTGCAGAAATAGAGACATATTATATTCTCAATACCATTGCTCATAATTCTTTTGTACGCTTGATTTGCCAGAAGCAATATATGAAAGAAAGTTTATACCGGTGCGAGGTATTTAAATAACATTCATTTTATTCAAAGTTAAATAAGGGATTAAAAGGTTACCTTAAACTGTGTCAATAAAATATGTTTACTACATAGGTGGACCAAATTGCGAAATAATAGAAGGTGTGCCACACATAGCACATTGAATTTAACGGATTATCCAAACTCCGACAAAAACGAAAAGCCATATCATGTTTGGTTTACCCATAGAAAGCACTCAGTGGAATATTAACAGGGAAATCTACTTGCAGCTTATCCCGATTGATTTCGCAATGGCTTTAGATTATACAGCAGTTTAGCTTTGGAAGTTGAGAAGAATTCATCAGGTTTTTAAATATAAAAATTTGTACCTGATCACTAACAGGAGACTTCTAAGATATGGAAGTCAAATTTTAGCTTAAAAAACACTCGCAGAAGTACACGTATGGTCTTGTTAAAGTGGTGCAAGACTATGGCTATATTTTTCTATTTAAATAGGATAACTGATACATGAGCTTAAGTTTTGAAAAGAATAAACAGAGAAAAAGACAAGAGGGAGAATTGAGGCGAAGGTATATTTACCGTCTCTGTGTCCCCGTGAAGTGTGTGTCTCCTGGCTATTAGGATCTGCGCCACTGTTCACCAGGTTGTTAATCTTGGGGAGAGCTCGGGTAGGGGAGGTCTGCTTCTTGCTTGGAGCCGAAGATACATTGCGAGCACTAGTTTCGACCACTGGGAATAAAATATTTCATTCTATTATTATAATTATTATTATTATTATTATTATTAAATTTGCAACCCTAGGGTTGGACAAATACATTCTTTGCATCATAGGTGAAAAAAGTTAGTAATGAATAAAAAAAGAATGTTAAAAGATTTAAAATAAAATAACTAAAATGCAAGGTCAAAGATAAAATAAAACTTCCATCGCTCACTGTTATCGATAAATTATGACTAGTAACGTAAACGTTATTTGAAAGTATGAAAAAACGTTGATGGATAGGAAATAACAAAGATCGCGTTAAAAAAAGGCTACACAAGCAAATAAATTGCACGTGAAAAGTGAAAAAAATATGAAAATAGGATGTTTAACAACGAAAAAGGATAAAGATAAAAATGAAGGGGAGGGGATGAAAGATTACAGAAGCAGGGACAGATGGACATATACAGGGAAAATGTTATATATGGAAAGCCTTTAGGCTTTGTAAATGAATGTAACTTACATTTTTGACTTCTGGTTAACGGTAGGGAACTTGTTCGAGTTCCGCTGTTGGTGGCCTCTCTCTGTAGTACGTCTCGATTTGCTACAAGTCCGCGTGAGTTGAGGTCTGCTCGAGGCAGAGATTCTTGATTGTTGCTCTTTCTTCCGTATCTATAAGGAAAAAATAAACAATAGAGATATCATTTTTGTTATATCATGTAAACTCTGGAAAGTTTCTTCGTGCAAACCTGGAAGGTTAAATCTGAAATATGAAATAAAATTGTATCGTTCAATTTCCGAAATGAGATCGTCTACTTTTTTGTACATGAAAAGATATTGCAGGCATTATCACTGTAGAAATGTACGCGTATAGATATAAGGTGGAGCAAATATAATTTACCGAGAATTGCGTGTTGTAAAATGCAGGGTCACGAAATCTCACCTCCAACAGACGAAATCGCATGCATAATTTAACTACGATCATATGTTGCACACAGTATAACAACGTAATTTGAGCTGGATACTTCAGTAACCTGTGACTTTCATAGTCCCCGTATACCACATGTTACTTTTCACACAAAACAGACGTTTATACAAACTAATGTTCTACGGAAAATGCCCCTCACTCTGCTTCTTCTAAAAGAGTACGGCAAAGACAACTACGCTTGTTCAAAAACATACTTAATTTTTAGTCAACACCATGGTTATAGTTTCAGTTCCTCTGAAAATGGTGGCATGAATTTTGAGTTGAATCTAAAAATTAAACTGATTAAAACTAGTCATTTAATTATGCCTGTTCGTTCTGTAAGTTTACGTACATTTCTCGGGCAGCAGATAGACAACGGCTTAGAAGCAGCTGACTTGGGGTAAAACTGGAAACATCAGAGCTAAAGATTGAACTGCTCCTACTACTCCACGATGCCGCACTGGAAGGCATTTTTCGACGTCCAACCGGTAGTCCGTGAACGGGAATCTGGTCACCTTTCCTAATCGTTATCCGTTAAGGCACCGCCTCATGTTCTACCGTCAAACTGACCACCTTTTTGTGCCCCTCCTTAATATTATTCTTTCATCATAATGACTCTTGCTCAATATCTTCTAAAAGCTGTTTTAACAAATTGACACTTATGCTGACTATAATCCAACGTTTTTGTCCGTGTAATTTCGTTTCCTTCTGTTACATGTGTGTTGGAAAGTATTTTTCTCATGGAATATTTGCCCTCTGACACGGCCTATCACGTGACAGAGTTCGTATTTCTAGCTGATGTCACCTGGGAGACAACAGTCACCATAGTAACAAGCTAATAAACACAGGCGCTTAAGAACAAGTCTACTGTTGTGTATCACCATTAACAAAGGGCGGTGTTTACTATTTTTACATATGAGTGTAACCTCTCTGGTCTTAAATGGGCCTCTTGCTTGTAAAGGAAATATTATCAACAAAGAACGTTTCGACCCTAATTGTAAATCTGAATGCAGCTTTGTCAGATTGACGAATCGGGGCAAACTGGCGGCTAGAATTGCATTTTAGTAGGTGTAATTTACCTTTCAAAGTGTTGCTTTTCGGTTCTTTGTTAAAGCGATGATTTTATGTAATCAGTTTTCTCGATTTGCGGATATCAAAATACAGAGTCACAGCTGGAGTAAATAGTTTAATATTTATATTGAAATATTATAATAAAAATATATGCATAAAATTTGAGCAATTCAAAAGCCATCTCCCGCTCTTTTACTTCGTATGGCAATGTACGCATATTTTTCATCCAAAATAAAATAGTTGTCAAATCATAATGATCAAATACAAAGACCAGGTTGTTTTATTATGTGAATCTCCAATGTCAAAAACGATATGACCTCAAAGGGATAGAAAGGTGGTGATGGCTTGTTTTGTTATTTGCACGCATAGAAAGTACCAAATAACCTTGAACATTTTGTTCTTATAATCCCAGTTAATCTGTTTGATTATTCAAAAAAATAACACAAATATGATAAAATATGAACTGATAACCTGACTTTAGGCCAATGTAATGCGGTGGTCAAAGCGACAATGCGCAATGCGTTTGTTGCGACAATCCTGGAAGCCAAGCGATTTTCTCTAAAACCAAATCAATTTTCTTTTTTATACGGTGCTTGGCATTCTTTTTTTAATACTTTGCAAATACATGGTAATGTATTTCTTTGAGAAAAATTTTAGTTAAAAAAGAGCTTTCTTATTTTGGATGGCTTATAAAATGCAACAGAAACTAAATCAGAGATACAGTAGTATGTTACCCCAAAAATAAAGTATAGCTCCTATCTATGAGAGCTTTATTCTCTACATGTCACAATTAGAAAATAGAAATTGGGAAAATCATATCTAGTATTAAATTTCTTGTTTCAATTATGAATAAGCTGAGTCCACTCCGACATACCAAAAAAAAAAAAAAAAAAACTTATATAACCATAAGTAACGTGATCAGAGCATCATACATGTACACGTATCATCGACTAGAAACAGTCATAAATTTTTCAATACATATGCCATAAACCCAAAAGCCCTGCCTATGATAATTTCCAAAAACGGATAGCGTACTGATGCAATCATTACTTCCCAAAGTGCTAACAACTTCAATGATGCATAGTTATTGCAATACCAAACATGGGGGAAACTGCCTGTCCGACAGGTGGTGACTGCCTGAAACGTCAGAGGACCTGCAAGATTTTTGATATCGCAGGTCTTCTGGATTGGCAAGATCTGTGACAATACAATACATAAAAATAAATCACATGCAAAAGTAGACTAACGGGAATAAAATACTTAGTTCAGACCAGCACAGAATTGGGAGGACCTGCAGATTTCTTGTAGTGCAGGTCCTGGTTTCCACGTCTCCAATTTTTCCCCATGGCTGTTCAATACAATGAGCAGTAGCACTTGTACGCAACAAAGCATGGAACAGGTCCATAAAAACTGTAAATTTAAATTCCTTTAACTGTAGCTAAGAACGATATGGTTTTAATTTTTGAAAAGTCAATTTCAGCTCTCTATAATCTACTTCCGATGTCGACACTTCCGATGTTTTATTATCAGTTTTATTACACACCCTTTCAGAGAAAGAAGTATGATATTGTTCCAGATCATTACATTTCACCGCTAAGCAGACCACGCGTAGGGGACAATCTACAAATTCAAGATATTCAATTATAGATGCTTTTCTAGAACAAGTCGAGCGTATTATTAAGATAAACTTTGAGCAAATGCTTCATAATACAGAGAAAACAAGGCTCTTGTTAACAGAGAGTACATTGTACGCTAGGGGTGTATTAGCGACAAAGCTGGTTTACGTAATACCGACTGTCGTTATGGTGTTATCATGTTCATAATACGATATACATGGTTAATATTAAACAGGGAATTTCAATTTCTGTTTTCTGCAGATCAAATTGAAAATGATTATTTTAAAATCCTATCCTGGGGGTACGGTGTTCATATCCTATAAGAATTGGATTTAGAGTGAAGGGGAAACCTAAAGGCATGTCTGCGTATGTCTGCGTTCATGGGTCAGATTTCTTAACCCACTGTAGTGTATAAGTCAGTGAATATTAAGATCTCTTTGTTTTCTATTATCACAGATTGTCACGTAGATACGAAGACTGCCGTTATATTTACATGGTAACCAAATGTTATAAATTCCGTATTATCGAAACTTATTCAAAGTGAAAATAATTTTGAGAGTAACTGCATATTCAGTAATTTAATCAAAATGAGCTCAATTTCGACAGCAAAACGGATGGAAAAATATCTAGTTTGACGAATGGGTGTATATGAATAAAAAGAAGATATATACGTCTAAAAAAGAGCATATTACCATCATCAGCACAACTTTATGTGCATGGTTGGACATGTGCATGGTTAGACACCCATTTCAGACACATTGGGAAATCGTTAGGGTTCGCTACAGGCTTGAGAGCATGCTTGTAGATATAAAAAACCCATCGAATACGGCGTATTGTGTTGAAAATAATATTTCTGAAAACCTTTTATTCAGAGTTTTCACTTACCCTGATTCTTTTTTCGGTGATTGATTATCATACGCTTGAGCATGGATTTGAGGAAGGCGGAAATCACCCTCGTCTTCTTCCTCACTTCCTCTTCTACGCGGTCTCTTAGCCATAATAAACGTCCAGGATAGTCCCTATTTATCTATTTCTGGCATAATTCACTCAGTATTGTTGGGTCAGATGTTGCCGTCAGCGAGAAACGTATCTTCAAGGAGTTAATCGGTATTTGATATAGCTCTCCACTTAAGATACACCTTTCAATGCAGTTTGGGTTCAGTTAATCCATAGCATGTGCAAACACTTCTGGACACACATACACGTGTGTATAGTTGCTATGTGACCTGCGTCCAAAACAAAGGTCACCTTCAGGTGTACCGCCTGAGTGATTAAGTCACCTGTAAAGAGATTTCACCGGTTCTCGCTTCTTACTCGCTGTCATCTGTAAATATTCTCGCCGCCTTAACGCGTAGTAGCGACTCTTGAGTAAAGAGCACAAATTCTGAGCAAATCTTTAAGAAAGATGGCCGCGCTGTTTATCTCTCATCTGTTCAAACTTTTTATTCGTTGCCACCCGCTTTAAGTTAACCTTGTTTTGGTGTTTATAAAGGAAGCTTATTGTCCTTCTCAAAACAGACATTTGATTCGTTTGAGCCCTTGACTGCGAGGGAACAAAGGAGGGTAAAGGCGTGCCGAAAATTTTACTAAAAAATATAACACAGTGTCCATTTTCTTTTAACATTCCATTAAATATTTACTGTTATGAAAAAGTAAAAAATTAAAACACTTTAGACAACGGATTGAAAGAAAGCGATTTAAAAAGAAACGGTAGTTTTTATCCTTCTCTCCCTAAGGAAGCGCGTTCTTGTCGTAAATTGAAAGGATATAACAGCGTTGTTGGCTCCTCTGTGAATGCACCCATTCTATTTGTAACAAAAACAGACGGAACAACAACGGTGTACAGTATCAAAGTACACATTTTAGAAAACTATCGGTGTGTAAAATAACAAGATAATGTCAACCCTGAATGAAACATTACGTGTGACCTGCAACTGTGGATTTTCTAGCTTGATTGCAAAATGAGTTGATATGAGGGAAGGGGCCAAAGGTGGTTGCAGGTAGGGGGTATTTCAATG